TTTGGACATGTTTTCAGGAGGGATCAGTCCCTGGAGAAGGACACCATGCTTGGTAAAGTAGAGGGTCAGTGAAAAAGAGTAAGACCCTCAATGAGCTGGACTCACACAGTGGCTGCAACGATGGGCTCAAGCATAGCAACAATTGTGAGGATGGTGCAGGACTGGGCAGTGTTTCGTTCTGTTGTGCATGGGGTCACTAGGGAGTCAGAACCGACTCGCTGGCACCTAACAACACCAACAACAGACAGGGTCTCTGTGAGTCGGAATCAACTCGATGGCAATGGGTTTTTCAGTTTTTATGTACCTGAAGGAGCCCTGGTGGCAAGTCATTTAAGCAGTCAGCTGCTAACTGAAAGGTTGGCAGTTTGAACCCATCAGCCACTTGGTAGGAGAAAGACCTGGCGATCTTCTCCTGTGAAGATTAAACGCGTTGCCGTCGAGTTGATTCTGACTCATAGTGGCCCTATAGGACAGAGTAGAACTGCTCCATAGAGCTTCTAAGGAGCGGCTGGTGGATTTGAACTGCCAACCTTCTGGTTAGCAGCCGAGCTCTTTAGCCACTGCACCACCAGGGCTCCCTGTAACGATTACAGCCTAGGAAACCCTATGGGGCAGTTCCGGTCTGACATCCAGGGTTGCTGTAAGTCCAAATGGACTTGATGGCCCCTAACAACAACCGACGTACCTGAAGAAACCCTTGTTTTCGTTTTTCTTTGACATCCAGGTGAGGTGTCATAATTCTCTCTCTGCACCTTGCCCCTCCACTCACCTGTGTCCTCTGCGTCTTCCCGTGTGCATGTGGGGCTTTTTGTGAGGCTAGGAATGTCTGCATCTGCCTGTCTGATGAGGCGGCCACCAGCCATGTGGAGCTGCTGAGCACTTGAGATGTGGCAGGTGTGACTGGGGAACTGGATTTTTCATTCTGTTGAGTTTGAACGGAAGTAGACCAGAGCTGGTGGCCTGCAGGCGTAGCTCCATCGGCTGCTTGTTGACTGCTGTGCCGGGGTCCGCCACGCGCCGAGGAGCATCCAGCCTCTTCCCAGTTGTTTGCCGTTGCGGTCCGTCCTGCGGTGAACATCTTACACCTCCGTCCTTGTCCTCTCATGCAGGTGTCTGCGGGGTGCCTGAGAGGGTACCATGCGTGGAAATGCTGGGTCTTACAAGTGTTTCAATTTTAGTAAAAAAAAAAGAAAAAAAGAAAAAAAATCAAAGAAACCAAAGCAGTTGCTGTTGAGTCGAGTCTGACTCCTGGCAACCCCATGTGTTTCTGAGTAGAACTGTGCTCCATAGGGTCTGCAGTGGCTGTGACCTTTTGGAAGTAGATTGCCAGGCCTTTCTTCTGAGGTGCTTCTGGGTAGATTCAAACTGCCAACCTTACATTAGCAGCCGAGTATGGTAACTGTTTGTGCCCCTTGCTCTCCGTCCTTTTCCACTCCACCTGTTAATGAATTATTTTTGCTCTAAATTGTTTATAGTTACTAAAACAAAAAACAAACCCATTG